TTAAAATCCTGTGCTGGGCTGGGGTTGTGGCTCAGCGATAGTGCACTTGCCTAGCATGTGTGAGGCACTGGGTTCGATTCTAAGCACCACATATAAATAAATAAAATAAATGTCCATCAACAACTAGAAAAAATATTTTAAAAAATCCTGTGTTGCTGCATCATTGTAATCTAAATTAGGAATTAAGAGCAAGGCTTTGAAGTCTGACCTTAATTTTCTTTGTGCCACTTTCTAGCCATGATATGATGAGAATTTACTTAACCTTATAGCTTTAGTTTCCTCTTCCATAAAATGGGCCTAATAATAGTTCTTCATAAAAGCATTTATTTCAATGAAATGAAAAATATTTAAAATATTTCACCACCTGGCACATACTCAATAAATGATAGTTATTATTACTCTGAATAGAAAAGCATTTACCACCTTTTAAACTTAGCTTCACTCCCTCTTGCCTTCAGGCATTCGATGACTTGCTAACATGGCCTCATTATCCCACCTTCAGGTTTTGGCTCTTGCTCTGTTCATTCAGTCTGAAGCACTGCCACCCACACCCTTTCTCTCCTTGTGGAAAGAATATTGTGCTACCTCTCCTGTGAAACTTTCTCACCACAGTCAGAAGTAATTACTCTTTAGGGCTTCTTTATTCTTAATGAGAGAATATGCCATTAATTATTCCATTCTTCTAGTGCTTAGCTTGGGCTAAGTCCTTGGGCTCCTGAGAGTCAGGAAATAGCAAGATCAATTGGTGTTAGCTGCCCCTGTTGTTATTTTTTTCTGTTAGTCATGTACCTGTCTTCTCTTTTACCTCCACCAAACAGCTATCTCCTCCAGGACAAAAATTATCTGATTTATTTTTGTCTTGTCTCACAGAGCCTTGTACTGTCCAGGGTGCATAATGAGTGCTCAGTAAATGAGTGTTGAATCAAAGGCTTGGGATTCAACCTCTCTGGAGCTGCCTGGTAATGGACAGAGGTGAGGGTGGGGGTGGGTGAGGTTAGATGCGATGTTGTCCAGCCATCTGCCACGGTTTCCTGCCACAGGATGGGAGCCTGGTCCTATATCAGCAGGCAGAGTGGCAGAATTCCTATTGTAACAGGTTATTTTAGGTTTTTTTTCCCCCAAGCAAAGCAAGGCCTTCACATTCTTTTTTTTAAATATTTTTTTATAGTAGATGAGCACAATACCTTTATTTTATTTTTATATGGTGCTGAGGATCGAACCCAGTGCCTCACACATGCTAGGCGAGCGTTCTACCAACTGAACTTCAGTCCCAGCCCGGCCTTCACATTCTTAATGCATCCAATTTTGTGAACTATCACTAATGAGGCAAGATTTTTTGGAATCAAATATACTTCTACCTTTGTCCCTTTATTTTTTCCCTTTACCTCTTTAGTACTTGAAAGTCATTTAAGGGTCTTTAGGAAAATTAATGTATTTTCCAAATACTGTTTCACATTGAACTTAATAATGTACTTCTAAAACACGATAAATGTAAATAAGTACGAGGCCAGCTTTTGCAGGCATTTACCCTATGATCAATGTCAGACATATCACTCCTTAGGAAATCTTGAAGAAATTCACAACAATGAAAAAAGGTGTGTTTTCACCATTCATTTCCTCTTTCTTGCTTTTGTTCAGATTTGAATAGACAAGTAGTTATTGAGGAAAATATTATTTTAATAGACTGTTTTACAGTATCTGCTTTTAGGAAAGTGATTTGCAAATGCTATGTTAAAAATGAGGAAGTTATAAAAATGCTTTTTAGTAGCTACAGATCTGGGAAAATGTGTTCTTACTGTTCAGTGTTGGATCTCTGAAACAATAATGTTAAATGACAACATTTTGAACTAACTGTGCTAACTTGGTAACTCCACATAAATAATTCTTCTTGATGGAGAAAGTATATTGGTGTAATACTAAATCTGTAAATATTTCAAGTACAAATACCAATTCAATTTGGGTTAAGTAAAATAAATAAATAAAGGCACAGAGAAGAAAGAATAAAATGATTTAAGACAGTGTTGGTATTTAAAGGCTTCTGGGTATGGTCCTCTACCGAGTGGTACCTATTAAATGAAAGCTGAAACAGCTCACCGGACAGCAGGGGCAGAAGTGCCCTACAGATTACAAATAAGTGACCCAAAGGCAATATAACTAAAAAATTGGAAACTGGTTTAAAACCTTGCATCACTTTCAAGTTTTAGATTGATTCTTTCTACAGAAAGTGTTTTTTTTTTTTTTTTTTTTGTTTGTTTCCTCTTCTGTTATGGCCACTCCTCTCAGACCCTCCCACCCCCAGTTTAAATAACTTGTGTACTGTAAAGTCCAACAACATCTGAGCAGGGAGACCGCTGTTCGGTTCACAGACCAAAAGTAGTATGCATGTGGAGTCACGGATGCCTTAGGAAAACTACCCCACAGATTAGGAACTATTAGATCTCTTAATTTACATATGGGAAAGTGAAGCCTTGAGTGGTTAAATCAGCAGTCACAAATTAGGACCTGAGACGAAATTTAGTCCTCCAGGCATGTTTTGTTTGACCTGTTAGGATGCTTTAAATTTTTTTAGCAAACTGTTAGAAATCAGGAAATTTCTAGCTTCTCATGAAAATTTAGAGGCTCTGGCACTGTTGGACTGATATTCCTGTATGACATCAGTTCACTGGAGTTGTATTGCATCTGCCCCCTTTACATGATCCATGTATCTCCAGGTTTCTACTCCTCACAATTCTCTCCTGTTTCACTTATTCATGTGACTTGCCTTGACTTTCAGAACATGTCATACAGCATGTCAAAGAGTAGAAACTTCTTTTGACTCCTAAAGCAATTGTAGGTTTCTACCTCCATTACTCAAGCAGTGGTTTGTAAACAGAAGAAGTGCTTTCCCATTGCCACGGACTTGCAGCATGGTGTTAACTGGCTGCTTACCTTCTCTGAACTCCAGTTTTGTTATTTGTCAAATGGCCATAGCATTTTAATCATGCAAATAGTTTAAAAAATTAGAATCAGCCCCATAAAATAATAGTCAATATTTTGTGTTATATTAGGTTATTTTAAAATGTCGTTTCAAGCCAGGTACAGTGGTGCGTGCCTGTAGTCCCAGCTGCTCAGCAGTCTGAGGCACTGGGATCACTTGAGTCCAGGAGTTGAAAACCAGCTTGGGCAACATGGGGTCAAAGAAAACCCCAAAACACAAAACAACAAAAAAACATGGAGTTACATGCTTGTAATCCCAGTGGCTCAGAGTCTGAAATAGAGGATTGCAAGTTCAAGGCCAGCCACTTAGCAAGGTCCTAAGAAGCTTAGTGAGATCCTGTCTCAGAAAAAAAAAAAAAAAAGGACTGGGGATGTGGCACAGTGGTGGTTTATAAAGCACCCCTGGGTTGAATCTCTAGTATCCCCCATCCCCACAAAAGAGCTGCTTCAACCTGCCCCCTTCCCATTATTAATCCTTTCAATGTTTTACATTCTATAGGATAAAGTCTAAATTATTTTGGTTTACATTCCCAGCCATTTGGTTTTAATATATCTTTCTAAAGTATCTCTTATTTTGTATGACGTTGAATATGATTTTATTCTTTCACCATTTTTTAAGGGGAGTACTGGGGATTGAACCCAGGGGCACTCAACCAAGAGCCACATCCCCAGCCCTATTTTGTGTTTTATTTAGAGACAGGGTCTCACTGAGCTACTTAGTGCCTCGCTTTTGCTGAGGCTGGCTTTGAACTCATGATCCTCCTGTCTCAGCCTCCCAAACCACTGTGATTTCAGGCATACTTCACCGCATCCGGCTCATCATTCATTCTTTTTATCATATAAATATTAAATACTTCTGTGCTAGGTACTGTTCTAGACACTGGGGATTACAAAGTTGAATAAGACAAAAGTCCCTGTCTCTAATATTCTCATACTTAGGTTTTCTATCTGTCTGTCTATTGGGGTGTGTGTGTGTGTGTGTGTGTGTGTATGTGTGTGTGTGTGTGTGTATATATATATATGTGTGTGTGTGTGTGTGTGTGTGTATTTATATTTTAAAATAAATTTATATTTTAGTGCTGGGAATTGAACATGCTAGGCAAGTGCTCAGAGCAACATCCTCCATCCAAGACATATATTGTAAGCAGGTCAGTATTTTGTATTTTGAAGACATCTTACATATGCCTGTCTCCTTTGCTCACAGAATTCTCCCTTTTCTCTCTCTTTTAAAAATTGTTTTATTCAACAAGTATTATTGTTTTGCCTTCTCTGTGTGAGGTAATGTTCACTGGGTGTTGATGTTTTAACAAAGTTCCTGCTCCTTTGGAATTTATGTTTTTGTGGGGTGAATAGATGTTTTATAATAAACAAACAAAATATGTGATTGGGCTTTTGAAGTAACATGTAGCAGAGTCAGAGGATAGATAATACCAGGTAAGGGTCATGACACTGTTATATTAGGTGTGATGGTGAGAGACAGCTTCCTAACATGATTTTTGAACAGTCCTGAAGGAACTGAGGAAAGCAGCCACAAGGGTATCTGGAGGAAGTGTTTTCCACAAATATATACCTGGCATGTTTAAGGGACAGTGGGAGGGCCGGTATATCGAGGGCTTAGTAAGGGAGCAGGAGAAGGAGTGAGCTCAGAGACATTGGAAGGTCCTAAAAGGCATTGCAGCCATGCTAAGCACTTGGGTTTTTGGTGCCAGAATAAGTCACATCTCTTGTGATTTTTTTTCTTTTCTTTTCTTTTTTTTTATTATTGGTTGTTCAAAACATTACAAAGCTCTTGACATATCATATTTCATACATTTGATTCAAGTGGGTTATGAACTCCCATTTTTACCCCGTATACAGATTGCAGAATCACATCGGTCACACATCCACGTTTTTACATATTGCCATACTAGTGACTGTTGTATTCTGCTGCCTTTCCTATCCTCTACTATCCTCCCGCCCCTCCCCTCCCATCTTCTCTCTCTACCCCATCTACTGTAATTCATTTCTCTCCCTTGTTTTTTCCCTTTCCCCCTCACTTCCTCTTATATGTAATTTTGTATAACAATGAGGGTCTCCTTCCATTTCCATGCAATTTCCCTTCTCTCTCCCTTTCCCTCCCACCTCTCGTCCCTGTTTAATGTTAATCTTCTTCTCATGCTCTTCCTCCCTGCTCTGTTGTTAGTTTCTCTCCTTATATCAAAGAAGACATTTGGCATTTGTTTTTTAGGGATTGGTTAGCTTCACTTAGCATAATCTGCTCTAATGCCATCCATTTCCCTGCAAATTCCATGATTTTGTCATTTTTTAGTGCAGAGTAATACTCCATTGTGTATAAATGCCACATTTTTTTTTAGGTTGGGGTGCACTGAAACCTAGAGGTGATTTTTTTTCTTCAAGTTCCTTGTGAAGTCTTCCTTGGCCACCCTGCTTATGATTTCTCCTAACTCCTAGGACTCCTATGGACCACAGAACTCATTAGTTGTCCAACTAACTAACTGTAAGAGGCAGCAAGTGCCTGGCTGTCTTCTTACAGGATTTCTGTTCTGTCCTAATTTCTTTGTAACCTCCTCTGGCTTAGAGACTTAGTTTTATACCTTTCTATCCCACAGGATGCTGTGCACTGAGTTGATACTTAATATGTATTTGTTTTGTGAGGCTCTTCTTTCAGATGTCAGCAGGAGGAATTTGAAAGTGATGTACAGGAAAGAAGTGAGAGGATTTGGTGATAGATTAGATATAAGGAATGGTGTTGAGGTTTCAGTTTGTGATCCTGGAAGGATAATGGTGTTATGGACAAAAAAAGGAAAGTTAGGAAGAGAAGCTGATTTAGGAAGAGACTGAATCAATTTAGTTTGAATTTATTGAATTTTCTTTGCTAGTAGGATGTCCACATGAAGTTGCCCAGAATATTATGGATGCATCAGAATACAAACAGAATTGGAGCTACTTGTGACTGCTGCCTGAAGTCATGTAATCTTCTCAAGAGCAGGGATAGCCCCTTCCTCATGTTTCTAGTGCCTAGGAAAGGAGCTGGCAAATAACGGGTGCTTGTTGTTGGTAGTTGATAGGCTTATTGAGATGAGAGGTGAGGTTATTGAGATGAGGCTGGCATGTAGCTATGAAGCTTAACATGAAAAGAATACAGGCTTTGAAAAAAGTTCCTTGTGGGTTTGACTTCTAGCCCCACCATGCTCTATGTGTGGTCTCTGTTGAGCCAGTGACTCCTCTGAATCGCCTGTCCTCATCCTCGAAATGGAGTGATAAGACCACTCCTACATGGATATGTGGGCCAATTGTAATTGTTTGGGGTGTTTTGATGATTTATTTATAATATGATATAGTTAGTGGTCCATCTGTATATTATCTTCCATATCAGTCAGTTCTGACAATGCATTCAGCACTCTGAGAGTAATTAAGTTAAACACTGGGAACACTGGGCTCAGTACATCCATTACTATCATAATGTACATTAGTTGGTAATACTACCTTTTATATTAACAGCTATCAAAACAGAGTCATGATAGCATGGGATTTGATAGACATGTTGGATGATTAATAATAGAATTACATAGTATTTTCTATTTATAGATTAATCTGCTTAACTAAGAGAATCATCTCATAGAAGATGAATGAAAATCCTCATATTTTTATGTAATAAAATTAGCACTAAATTTAGAGAAGCAATTAGAATCTATATTTAGCTTCATTTTGGGCAAAACTCTTGGTTACCTTGATAGATACCTCAAGTCTCTTTTCTTCAAGTCAGAAATTAAGTTTTTAAAGCCTTCTGGTCTAGGATCTCCTTTGCCTTTTTTCTCTGAATATAAATCCTAAATCCATGTCTTTTGAAAGGGTTTTCTAACTTCTTATATCTCTTCTGGATCTGTTTCTTTGGAGCCTTTGGGTCCTCCAGAACTGTATGCTTTGCCTTACTTTTTGCATCTGAGCAGATGTCGTGGCACTAAGACCCAGAAACCGTTTCGCTGTGTGGCTGGAGCTGGGCAGGCTGTGCTTGCACTGAAGGGAAGGAAGTCATTAGTGCAGACTGAGCTGTGGAGTTGGGTTCTTGCAGGATTTCCTTCCAGCCTTTCCCTACTAAGGTTCTTGGGAATTAAAAAAAAAAAAATCTAAACACACAAACCAAGTTTTCCTATTTACAGTGTTCAGGGAAGGTAGGCATTCCGGGAAGGGCAGCTCCTTTTCCCAAGTTATCCAAGAAGGAAAAGAAAACAGCATAAAAGAAGCTCTGATTACAGATCTTTGGAATTTTCTTTGCTAAATTTTACAAACGAGAAATACACCCAGAATTTTGGGAATTGCTCCAGGCTGCTCGTGAGGGTTTGATTGCTTGTCTAATCTTTTTTGAGAAGAGAAGAATTCGCCAAAGGGGTTTGGATGGCAGGAGCCCGGCTGGGTTTCTGCAGCAGCTCGCGTTCTCAGTCTCTTCTCTGAGAGAGGGTCTCTGTAGCCAGCTCCGAGACCCCCTGCCGCAGGCTCCTTTTGCAAGCGCCAGCCGGGGAAAATGCCCCGCTCTGGCAGGAGTACACTGGTGGCTGCTGGGACTTCCTAGCGCGGTGGGAAGTGTGTTCGTGGTTTGGGGATACTTTTCATTGAACTGAAGGCGAAAAGACTGGACTCTCCTGGGCTTTTTCCCTTTGCAGTGAATATGGGGAAGAATTAGGGGGTGGAAGGGAGGCAGCATGACTTGCAGTCGCCGCTGCCCTGCATCTGCCCCCAGCCCCCAGCCAACATCTTGATGTTCCACGTATCGGCTGTACAAATATGATGAAATGGCAGCCCCGGAAGAAGGTAAGTGTCACGGAGTGGGGACGGGGCCCGGAGCCCCACTCAGGGATGGGTGACTGGGGTCGGCCCTCGGTCCCTCCACATCTTTCACAGTTCTCTGGGCCGGGGTGCAGACAGCCCTGGACCCTGAGGGACTCACGCCGTTCCCTTCGGGACAAGTTACCAAGTCTGGTCTGCGTCCACTGCCCTCCAAGTTTTCCTTCTTGGTATGCGTGGACCCTCAGGGGTGACAGCTCAGAAACACCCGTTCGCTCTAGAGCCCTGTGGAGCCCGTGACATCCTTAGCTTTGCCCGAGCCAGCCAAGAGCTTCCAGGGTCCGAGGACTCGGCGGCGCAGGGTCTCGGGGTGGGGGCCGTCTGGGGCTGCCCGGGACTCGTTCCAGCGGCCCCGCAGGTGGGTCTTGGAGCACCTACTTCCCCAAGGGGTTAACCGTCTCCAAGCCGCTGGCAGCCGCTTCCCCAGGGCCCCGCTGGGGGGCGAGCAGCCCCAGCACAACCGCGCCGTGGCTGGTTCCCGGGCGGCGGGCCGCGGGGCCTCCCGCCCGAGCGCCCCGGGCGGGCCGGGCCGGGCCTCGAGCCGTGGGGCGCGGGCGGCCGCGTGGGCCCGGAGCGCGGCCATTGTGCGCCGGCTGGTGTCCGCGGGTCGGCGTGAGCCGCGTGTGTGCCCCGAGCGTGGGCAGGGGAGGGGACACCTCGCTTTTTGCGAGATTATTTCCTAATATGGCTCCTTTGTTGAGAACTCAAGAAAAAAACAATCCAGTGGTTCTATCAAAATAAATTGCTATTGGTCCCAGAAATAACGTTTCCAAACGTGGGACTGGTCCCCACCCCAGGATGTTGAGGGGGAAAGACAGCCTTCTTCAAGTTGTTGGCAGCTGTACGTCTGGCCAGGGCTCCCTTTGCTAACTTGTCTGACTGCCCATAACTGTTAGGTGAACCCAGTGGCTCACTGCGTGGCCGCGCTTTCCCTCCCCCTGCAAAGACCTCATTTGGACGTGGGTTTTATTGACATTCTTCTGGAGGAAAACACAGCGAACTGAATTTGCTGTGCCCCTCCCCAGCCGCGACCTGTGTCTGTTAGCAGCTGTCTGGTGTTTTACTTGAACTAGCTAAAATGACTCTTTCTTTGTGCCATGATGTGTGATGCCGAGTTTTACATCAGAGCTGAAATAGAAATCATGTGTGAAATGTCTGAGAAGATATTGTGCATTTGTTTTACTGCTCCGGAATCTGACAAACCCTGCCTCCGAATAGCCTGGTGAATTGAAAGGTTTTCTTGGACATCCCATTGCTGTGAATTTTGTCCTGTGACATTGTCTTTTCTACCTCACCCAGAATCTCTTATATATTTGTTCTCATCCTAGAGGTTCTTTCAGTGGGGTTGGTTTCGTTTACTTAGGTCGGGAGAGCCATGTATTTCCCCACCCCCAATAAAAACAGGATGAGGAAAACCCATAGAAGGAACCATATAATTAAGCAATTTAAACAGATCCTGCATATTCCTAAAGTCCTTCATTTCTTCTGTATTTGTAAATTGAATATTTATGAGTAGTTTAAAGATGTCTGCAAACTGTACATTTATAAATGTCTGTTTTTTCTATTTTACCCAATATGCAGTAACTCATGTGGTTATGTCTGTGGAATCCCCTCTGGGTACGGGTATTGCTTGAACCACGGAAGTATTATTCTTGGCAGTCAGGTGGATTTCTCCACTCTGGAAGATTCTGTTTCAAGTGTTAGGATTCACTCTCAGTATTTACTCACTCTGTGATGCTTCAATTGCTATACCAGAAGGTTGTGTTTATTCACTGTATTCATAATCTCAAATCATCACATTATTAGGATCCAGATCTAATTCTGTGGAGTTCACAGAAGATTACAAAAAAACAAGCTGAGCCATCAAATGCTGTATGATTATTTGGTGGTTGAGAACAGATCTTGTTTCTCCTGCACTGGAAGTGGAAGCTACTTTAGAGAAGACTCAGTATTCAACTCATTAGGGCACTATTAAGTCTTCACAAAAATTAGGCTTATTTTTGTACTCTTGCCAGAATACTCACATGATCAGATCATTGTGATGGTTTCTGGCCATGTCAGCTAACACATTTGTAATGGTACAGTCACATGCCATGTGTTTTACCAAACTGTTTCATAAAACCATTTACACTACAGATGAAAAGTGATACTGCATTGATGTGATTTTAACAATGCTAAGAAGATCATCCACAGAATGCTGCCTCAAGCAGTGTCTGTGTGCAGCTGGCTTCATGACTAGAATTGGTGGGTAGTTAGCTGTCATGGTGTCCTGTCAGCCTCTACTAGTTGGGGCTTTTCTAAATTCTGGGTTCACTGTAAGAGAATAACCATAGGTTCAATATTTCTTTGTTTTAACCGAGGATGCAGCTGGGGTACGTGATTGAAGGGGAGCTCTTTCCTCCTCTTTTCTCTGCTTACTTGCTGGGTTAGACTTGATATTTAATGCAAGCTTTTAAACACGAGAGTCTGGAGTATTCTATTAGGGTCTGAAACCTTTTCACAAAGAAACCATCAGAACATGACATGATTCATCATGTTTTGCCCCCATGATCAGTGAGGAGCTTGGGACCCAGTCTTCCAAAACACCGTAGGCCTAAAAGCATGTTTCAGAGGTATATACACATCTACAAACTTATCAAGTTGTATAAAGATGGACAGCTCTTTCTAAGTCAGTTATACCTTAATAGTTTTTTTTTTTTTAAAGCAAGATTTTGAACAATTGTCCTTGTTGCTTCATGGTAAGAGCGACATTTGATATCATGCAAATAGCAACTACCATTTTTTTTTAGATGTTGATGGACCTTTATTTTATTCATTTATTTATATGCAGTGTTGAGAATTGAACCCAGTGCTTCACACATGGAAGGCAAGTGCTCTACCACTGAGCCACAACTCCAGCTCCAGCAGCTACAATTTTTGAGGCACCTGCTCTATGCTGGACATCTCTAATTGGTCTATATGAGCTCATTTTATTCTTATCCAGTGAGATGGGAGGTGTTGTAACTTGTACTTTAAGGAAACTAAGATTTAGAGGCGGGGAATGACTTACCCACAGTTATACGGCATGGCAGGGTCAGAACTAGGGTTGGGCCAGGGTTTATTTACTTCAGAGTGTGTGTTCTTTACCATTGTACTTGGGAACTTTGATGAAAAGGGCTATTTATCCAAGAAAGATAAGCCTGAGTTGATCTCAATATACTATATTTAACCAGAGCTCTGCTCTCTCACTTCAAGGTGCTTGCAAAAAGATGTCCCCACCCAGCCCTGTTTCCTCTTGAAATGTGGTGATTTTACCTACATCTGAATTCTTGGAGCACTATCTTTCATGTCTTGGGATGTTGTTTCCTCTTTACCATGTATATCTCCATCACTTTATGTATGTATCTAACCTCTTTCTACCACTTCAGGCTTCTTAAGTTCAGGAACCATCTCCCCTCTTTTTTGATGCCAAGGGAAGTATAGTTGCTCAATAAATATTTCTTGGATGTGAAAGTAATAAGAGCTATTACTTATTAAACTATTACTTATAAAACTTGTATTTTTAGATTTTCTTATATTTCAGTTGATTCATAGTTATTGTACTATAGTAGATTACTAAGGAAAACCAGAATTATTTTGTCACTTACTTCTTATCTTTGCAGACAGCATCAAGGAGGGGGCAGCCACTCGCCACAAAATCTCCATGGAAGTCATGATAGGTCACAGCGCCAGGCTGTGTAGACTGGGCTCACAATCCAGTGTCATTATCCTTTTATTCACATAACCTAATTGGCCTGGCAAAATAAGCTTTCCTTTGTTTCCACATTAAGAGGCTATCATGCATCACATTATTTTAATCTTATATTTGCAGAAATGATAGCAATTAAAATGCTTATCTCATAGGAACATGTTTGTTTACAAATCTGAAGTGATTTCTGTTCTTTAAAACCCAAGGATTACTATCAGATAATACTGTGTAAATAGGGCTGCAGTCAGAACCTTCAGGAAGGCAACTGCTGATTGGATTTTTTCATTGCTCGTCTAATGTTATTTTACTGTTCACACATAATAAAAGATCATTAATAGGAATATGTCACATAAGCTACATTAATTATGTCATTTGAGAATCATATGATATATTTATCTTGTTACACTTGTCACATTAATAAAATGTGAATCTGGCTTCTTAAATGACTTCTCTGACAGAGCTTCATTTAAAAAGCTTGTTTGGAAGCTCACTTGTGAGGATTATGTTCTGTAAATCTGTGTCTTAGGATAGCTTATTACTTTTATGAAAGAGTGTATTTCAGATCTCTATACTTTCTCTATGATGAAATAAGTATTTTGTTTCAGGATTATAAGGCTAAGTCTCAAATTTTAATACGGTTATACCAAATGACAGTCACCTGCTTGAATGCTATGCAATTGATATTAGATTATTCATTTTGGGCCACAGCTTGTTTAATAGTATAAAATAGATTTTTAAAAATAAGCTTTGTGGATTAGGTAGTTGTAATTTCTAAAGTCGTAGAAATGTCCTGATTGAGATGTTTCTGCAAATCCAATCCACACACCATTCCCAGATCACTGCGACCTGAAGCCCAGGTTTTGGTACTGGCAGTTCCCTTGACTCATGTCCTTGGGCAAGTCATTTAATCTCTCACATCTGACTCCCCACTGTTCAAGTTTAGCGCCTCATTATCACTTGCTGGATCTACTGCAAATGGCATCCTAATGATTTTTCTTTTTCTGGTCTCTTTTTTTCTCTGGTTCTCTCTTTTCATTCCTTTCAAGTAATTGTTTTAAAAACACAGGCTGCCATTACTCACCTTGTTAAGTCTTGCCCTGTCTCTCTGGGCAGGGGAGGGAGGTGCCTGGCAAGAAAATGACAGGAGTTTGTTCCTTACTCTCTCACCTGCTCAGAGGCCAAAGGGATTCTTGGCGATGCCCATTCATGGTTTACTTTCAGTGTGTTGTGGCATATTGTA